CATTTTGTTGATTCATTTGATTTCATTTTTCTAAGAGTTTCTAAATGTATCATTTTACCATGATAGTTTTGTGTGTACTATATACATTCAAACAGGGATTTATCCATTTCTTTCCAAGGGATCCAATACACTCATTTCTAACCTAAGAGAAATTCTACTGGTCTTTTTTTAAAAAGTGTGCAAAAGGAGAAAATCATAAAAGAAAACAACAAAATACAATAGGAAGGAAGGGAGGGAGAAGGAGTTTGAATAATTGAGGATAATTAACATTCTACTTTTATTCCATCATCAGTTTAGTTCTCTCCCATTGTCTTAATTATTTTATCCTTTGCCCATTTTCACACATGCCTTTGATTGACTGATTGGCTTAGAGTAGTGGTTCTTATACTCAAGAGTGCATTAGAATCACCTGGAGGATTTTCTAAGGAAGCGCTTGCTGGGTCCACCTTATTTTGGATTCAGTAGACCTGGGGTGGGCTCTGAGAATTTGTATTTCTAATAAGCTCTCAGGAGGTGCTGATGCTCCTAGACTAAAACCACATTTTGAGAGCCAATGGTTTAGAGAATTGAAAATCTTAAGTCAGAGCTTGAAATCCTGGGAAGTAAGGAAGATTGAGTATTTATGACGCCTATTCTAATAGCTCATCTAACTTCTATAGTATATCTCTGTTGGGTATTATCGTTATCTTCTTTACAGATGAGAAGGTAGCTCCGAGGAAACTACACAGAGAGTACATGGAAGAGTTGAGATTTAAATGCTCATCTTCCTCAAGTCTTGTGTTCATTCTTTTACTGTATGCTGCCTGCCCTGCACTGAGATGGGATGAGGTACCTCTGCTGAGCTTTCAAAGTCTCATGTCTTCTCATTATATTTGGTTACTCAAGGGTGAACTACGGTGAGGAAGAGGTAATGAAGGGAATCCACTGAAGAAATGAACACAAAAACTGAACTTCCAAGTTGTATTAAACAAGAATGTATGTGCTGTATTGCTTTAAGACTTTAATACTTATTTTCTTAACATAGAAATTAGTGATTCTAGAAAAACACCCGTGAGGCTGATGCACTTTGCTTTAGCCAAATAATGACATTCCACTTTTAGTAAGATTCCTAAGGAAAACATTTAGGAACTGCACCCTACACACAGATTATACACTTTAGTATCACATGGAATTAATTCTTCAAATGAACTTGAAGTCTAAATGGCTTGAGTGATAAGATGAATGCCAGGCATGTGAGTTTTAAAGTTACAGGCACCTTATAAAGTATAAGCTCAGGGCGAAATAATTCAATTGAGTTTAGGGAATTTAAAAAACACGCTCAAATCTTGCCTGAACTAGCAAAGTTCAAGAACATCAATCAAACATACTTTCCTAACGGAATAAAAATAACAAGGGAGTTTTATCTGCATGAATGCTAAAAGAATTTTTAAAAACCCAGAATGGCTGCTTACTTTACATTTACATCCGGTTTTATAACGAGAAAAATCAAGGGGAAAAACATCTCTTTGAGAGTAAAGAATTCAAGAAGCTGAAATCCACAGACAGGAACAATCAAAAAGAAAGACTTTCAAAAGACTAATTGATATTTTATCCCTTTGAATACTGTTAATCTGCAAGAATTTTCAATGTCATTCAGAAAACATTAGTTAAATTCCTTACAGACGATCAGGATAAGTTAGGACAAAACAAATGAGAATGAGAGAAAGGAAGAGAGAGCAAACTTTTCTGTGAGATGAAAGGGTGCTTTGTTTGATCATGGCTGAAAATCCCATTTAGGGAAAACTAGTCTGATGACCACAGGCTGGCTGCTTTTCTTCAGTAAGCTCTCAATACTTATATGATAGTGTATCATATCACTAAGAGATTGAGTGGGTGCTTTTCCATCTCATTAATGAAAAAGAACTTGTTCTGATTATCATTCCCAATGGTGGTGGGGCACCTGGTGACTGTCCAGAGAATCTGTAAAAGGCATAACACAGGGTACTGAAGAACTGATTTAAAAAATGAGGAAAAGATGCTATGTCTATTGGGACTAGAGTGTGTTTGCAATGGTGAGCAAGTGATAAACTTGGGCACTAAAAAGGGTATAAATGTAGTACTTTTAGAAGGTGACACTGGGGAATCAATTATAATGATGTTAGTAAGATAATTTAATATGATGGCTATCTAGGAAAAATAAGTAAGAAAATGAAACCTACCAGATAAGCCCCATTGCTGAAGGGCAATCTTATTTCTCATAGACACATTATAGGTTGCCACCAATATTTTAAGTTATTTCATATAAAAATTATTCCTCAATAAAAATTCTGCTTTCTCTAAGTCCTTCCACTTTTTAAAAAATTTTATTTTCTTATTCATGAGTTTTTTTCTAGTCCATTTGGAAAGATCTCTGTAATTAGTTGTTCATTCAAATTTTCAGACTTCTTGAGAATTCTGAATCTGTTTTCCTCTTGCCATTTTAGTCTTTTGAGGAAAAGGTTAGGATTATTTAGAAGGTGTGTCTAACAAATTGGAATTCTGACCTATAGGTATCATCTATTCAACTGGCAAATATTGACCAGATGCCTACCATGGACCAGATGCTGCTGTGTAATGGAAAAATAAAGTGAATATGAGAAGTCCCTGCTCTAAAAGTATTTATAGCATTGACTCTAGGGGAAGAAAGATAGATAAACTGGAAATGGTACTTGAATGTTAGGATGAAGGTATTCCCAGCGACCTAAGGGGATAGAAAAAGCAGCAACTCTAAGACAAGACAGAAGGATGAGGTAGGCTTCCAAGAAGAAGAAATCATCCGAGACAATTGCTACAAAACATGGCAGCATTAGCAAGTTGACAGGTGGAGAAAAAAGCATTCTAGACCGAGGAATTGTTCATATTTACCATGTTCCCACTTATGCAAAGACCCTGGAGGCTTGGCCCATTCTGGAAACTGAAAGCAGTCCATTATGGTGGGAGCACAGAAGCAGTTAAGAGGTGATTCTAAAGAAGCAGGAATCAGGATCACAAAGGGCCTTGTAGCACAGGCTGAGAACTGAATATTATGTCTTGAAAGTTGTAAAGCTGTGGAAGGAATTGAAGCATGTCATGTTTGCTTTAGGAAGATGGTTCTGGGGCTGTAGAGAAAATGGATTGAGGTGGGATCAGGCTTGAATTAGCAAGAAGATTTGGATGGATGTTCTGTTAGTCCTGCCAAGGGATGGCAGTTACCTAGAGTAACTTTCCGAAGAAATAATCTTAAATTTTAGGTCTTCTGGAGAAAATTCAGAAATCTGACTAGCCTAGTATTGCCTCCCCATTTTGTCCACCACATTTATTTGGAGAAAAAGTCAACATTAGAGTCTAAATTGAGGATGAGTCCTTACTAAAAGACTGCTTCATTTTCACCACAAATCTGAGCTTTGGTACTAAAAGGAATAAAAGGGATAGCAGGAGCCTTTGATCTCCAAACCTCCAGGAACCTGCAATCTAAAGATGGGGTGAAGGGAAGACAGTGAGGGATGTTCAAGTATCTCTGATGTAAGGTGAAGTATAACAGATGCTAAGGAAGAACTTTGAAGAATTTTCAAATCAAATGTGAAAATCAGAGAGAAATGTGTGAAAGAGATAGACCATTAGAGATGGATAAGATTTGACCAGCAGAAACTGCAGGTATGGCAGGGAAGAAATTCCAGGTGGAAAGTTCACATGAACAAAGGCAAGAAAGAAAGTGCTCACAATCAAACATCCTATGGATAACTGTGACCTGTGAAAGAGCCATGCAGGGAGACAAAAAACAAAACAAAAACAAAACAATAACAAAGTGACCCAAGGATTATATTGTGGCCGACCTTGAACACAAGGCTGATAAAAATTTCTTAATTCTTGGAGCCTTTGAGTTGTGGCTCTTGACTGAAGAAAACAATATGTTAGGTGTCTCCAGTTTCTAGAATTCATTTAATTATAGCTCACCTTGCTCACCCAAAGGATAAATCCTTAAAAGGCAGTTTCCAAGATTGTAGAAAGTATTGTAATGTCAAGTGAGAAAAATGAGGCAAACGGAGAGAGAGGGAGATAAAATCGGCAAGCAGGGTAACTAAATAAATGCCATTAACACTTTATCAGAGTTACTTAGCAATGAATTACACGAGTCACTGAGTCTATTAGGTAAGAAAATAAGCTAGACACATAGAAGAATGATTCCCAATATGGAGGCAGGAGAACTGTTCCTCCTGAGAATCTGAAAGGAGCAGACACCATGTAGCCTAATGTACAACAGCCTTGAAATAAGCAAAGCAATTTTCCAAGAGCAATTTATTATAGTGTCCTTCAAACATAAGTTAGTGGCATTGTGCCAAGGCATACTTCATGAAAAGCTATTTTTTCAGGGGGCCAGTGGGATGCAATCATCCAGATAAAACAGCTTTCTCAGCTTAATCCAGGGATATAACTTAAAATACCCGAGTAAAAATGGATCTGCTGCATAATATCCAAATATTTCTCCAAAAGTGTTATTTCTCTCTGTCAAGGTCCCGAAAGGTATGAGTGGCAGTGACTTTGGAATTGTTACACTTCTTGACAAACACTCGGAACGCAGCTTCCTTTGCTATGTTCACATCGGCCCACATGTTTGCACCATCAGCTGAAATTGGCATTGGTTGGATGGTCTCAAATGGAAGAAGCTAAGAAAGATTTAAGAGAACCCAGTGATTCCTTCCAACACATGCATTCTTTACCTGGAGGTTAGTCGCAGGAAGGACTATATTCTTTTCAGAAAAATTGTAGGTTTGCTCTCCTACAGACACCAACGGGCAATCATCACACTGTGGTTCTATAATAAGATGTAGCCTTAACGCCCACCTCACTACACAACAATGTCTTCAGCTAACCACAGCACTGGAGTTGTGTAATATTTCTGGTATATACTGGCTACAAGTTTGAGTGTTGCTATAAGAAAAGGCAACTTTAGAGCCCATCCGCCGCGGCAGCCAATGGAAAGCAGCTTGGCCCTGCGCTACCCCATGGCCGTGCGCTACCCCATGGCCGTGGGCCTCAACCTTGGTCACAAGGTGACCAAGAACGTGAGCAAGCCGAGGCACAGCCGCTGCCACGGGCGCCTGACCAAGCTCACCAAGTTCGTGCGGAACGTGATCCAGGAGGTGTGGGGGTTTGCCCTCTACGAGCGGCGCGCCATGGAGCTGCCCAAGGTCTCCAAGGACAAGTGGGCGCTCAAGTTCATCCAGAAGGGGGTGGGGACGCACATCCGCGCCAAGAGAAAGCTCAAGAAGCTGAGCAACGTGCTGGCTGCCACGACGAAGGCAGAGGCCAAGAGGGACTCAGCCTCCCGGCCCCATTAAAGCCTTTGCAGAACCCGGAAAAAAAAAAAAAAAAAAGAAAAAGAAAAAAGAAAGAAAAGGCAACTTCAGATTCAGAAATTGTATCTGTAGCCTACTCTCTGGCAGGAAACAGATGGTAGGGATAGTTATCTACTAAGGTAACTCCTAATGGTTATATTAAAACCATATTCTTACAGATAAAGCTTTAAAAATGGTTTTCTCAAAATTTACTCAGGCATTTGTGTGAAGGATGAATAAGAAAGGAAAAGGCCAGGTGTTGACACCAGGAAAACACTGTGATAATGACATTAAAAAGTAAGCTGGGAGTGGTAGTGCGCATCTGCAGTTCTGGCTACTTGGAAGGCTGAGGTGAAGGATCCACCTGGGGTGGCCATGAGCTTGCCACTGTACTCCAGCCTGGGCGACAGAGTGAGACTCTTGACTCAAAAAAAAAAAAAAAAAAAAAAAAAAAAAAAAGTAACACGGATCCAGCTTGGACCAGGATAATAGAGTGGAATGAATAAAACAGATTCAAAATATATTGTGGAAATAGAGTCTACATGAAAAAAGAAGACTGTACATAGGATAGAATGCACCAACATATCTCTGAGGTTTTAAACATAATTGGCTGGAACAAAAATGACTCACCAATTTGTAAGAGATTTACTATTGTACTCTAATCTCAAATGAATATTAAATCATATGGTTCTCACCCAAAAAGAAAAGCTACAATCTAAGCCACTGTCAAAGACCATAACAATCCTAAGCTTATAGCTACACTTAACTTTTAAAATCTTGGCTTAGAGAAATAATACTTATAGAGGTTTGCTTGAACCCTAGGGAAGTATAGAGAAGAAACTGAATTTAAAAGAAAGATTATGAGACTGAAATTGTGTATATGAAATTTGAAATACTTCTGGGTTATCTAAGGGTGGTGGGAGTGGATTGAGAATATCTAGGAGCTAGTTGGAAACACTGGCATGAAAATCAAAACAGAGGGTAGAATTAGCAAAATAAACTTAGAGGTCATCTATTTGTCAGTCAACTATGAGGACACAGATGACATCACTGAGGAAGAGAATAAAGAAAAGCAATGTGACCTAAAACCAGCACCCCAGGAACCTTGAGATAGAAAGGCTTTACACATTTGGTTAAACACAGGAAAAGTCACAAACAAATAAGTATTTGTTGAAGTAGGTGCCCCTGGGATCAATGGCAATCAATGCTGTAAGACCATGAAGACAAGTTAAGACAGTTGAAAGCTAGAACATAGAAGGGAGGATTAGCAGGGGCAAATAGAGAACTGTGGCTTGACAAAATGGAAAGATAGGAAGAAAGGAACTCTGAAGAAAAAATATTTGAAGATTAGATCAATTGTGGTATTCATCTTCTCTGAAAGGAGGAGATAGTCATTTTCTGAGCATAAATGATATGACTCATGTTTGGAACTTGAGAAGGCCAAAAAGTTTAAAACAGCTGAAGAAGCATCAATATGAGTGAGGGTTCAGCTGAGTTTATAAAGACACAATTTGTAGAGGACACAGAGGCTTCTTTATAGAATGATTGGGACAATCAGATGTTGCAAATCTATCCACATAAAGCACCAAGTAAAGCACCCACAACACAGTGTGTTCTTTGTGTATGCAAATTCATCTCCGCATTACCAGGATGTCCATATACACTCAAAATATGCGACAAATAAAACACCATTTCCCCCTATCTCACATATTTGTTTATATTTTATCAAGGCCATTTAATGCTCTGCTATATTTTTGTCAGGCCATATTATAATTGCCCTTGAGATAAGAAAAGAATTTATGGAAATCTTTCAAATGACCTTTAATTAGCTGGTAGCTACTTGCAAGGTCACAGCATTCCCAATTAAACACTTTTCAAGATTATCAACAATTATCAGACAAGGCTATTCAATGACTGTGGTGGATAAAAGAGAGACAGGTATATTCTGAAAGCCAAAAAACAAATATCTCTCCTTTCTGCCTAATTAGTGACTCCTGCATCGTTGCCAGTGGCAACTCCAGTCCTGCTTTGTTCCTCTCACCTACAAATAACATTAAAGTCGCCCAGTCATTCAATTGCCTATCACTTACTGATAGCACCCAAGGCAGGATAAACTGTCACTTCTTTAAGCCCTTCTCAAGGTCACACTGCATAAGCTCAAATCCTAAAATAATCCCCTCCAAACTTCCTTTTTTGAGATGCCTCATAGTTTACCTGATCTATGGTCCCTTGTTTCAGCAAGCTAGTGAACTGTACCATATTTGACGGTACTTGGTCTCTAGTCTTCTTCAGTGAATAGGCTTTGACCTTCCAGAACAAGAATCTCAACAATCTCCATGATTTTTACCAACTCTGCATATTTTATTTGCCAAAGTAATGGCTCAATTATGAGCGAGCTTCCTATTTCCTAAATCTGGAGTCCGGTGCTTTCCCAGATCGGAGTCCCTTGGGCAGACTGCTGGACTCAGAAGAGGCATATAAAGCAATTAATGTATGCCTTATTGGGGCCTGCAACCCATCATTCTGAAACCAACATGGTTTTGCTGCCAACTGAAATACGTCCATTTCATGTAACTAAAATGGCCCCATTGGTTTAAAAATGTTTTAAACATTCAGTTTCATTTTTAAGAAAATTTGCTATGACATTATTACTGTTTGGATATGCAGTATCAAGGTTAGTTAGCTAGTGGCCTTTCAATTAATATTTAATTAAAGGTAAATCACAGAGAATACAACAGAGTGTAAGGTTGAGACAAGTGCAAAAGAAGGATTGGCCTGATAACAAAATAATTTACTGTTATTGATATATTGCACATTATCAAAGTGAATAAAACTTAGCAGTAGGAAAAAAAAAGGAAGAATCAGTAATATTTTGGGTGGCAAAAGGACTTTTAAATGATATCAGCCTGATTTTGGTAGGTGTAAATATTTTGTGATAGACATCTTGAAGAAACAAATTATCTCCAACATCAAGAGAGTTTGTTTTATGCAGAAACTTTTAAAAAAATGTGCAAAAAGAAATAGTCTAACATATGGAAGTTACACTTACTATGTAATTAAAAGTGTATTCTTAAATCATTCCACAAAAAAGACACCTGCACATGCATGTTTATTGCAGCACTAGTCACAATAGCAAAAACATGGAACCCACCAGGCTGAACTCTATAAGAAAAATGTGGTACATATACTTCGCAGCAACTTGGATGGATATAGAGTCTAACATACTTAGTGATCTATCACAGAAACAAAGAAGTGAGTACCACATATTCTCATAAGCAAACTCTAAACATTTACCATAATACTATAAGAAAAGGATTGGCAGTAGCGAGACACTGCCAAGAGAGGGGGTGGGGGCACATAATATCAATAAGGGCACCTGATCTCAAACCAGGCGAAATGTGGACCAAAGGGAGGCCCAAACTTTACCTGTACAATGACCACTTGTATACCTAAATCTGAATTGTACTCCACATCTTAAAATAATAATAATAATAAAAAAGTGTGTTGTATATGGATGGTCCCAATTCCTAATGTGTTATATCAATCCCATAAACCACAAGGGGCTGGAAGCCTCCCATTATATAAACTGGGAAGATTTTACGTTGTTCCAAGTGCTGCATGCAGACAGCACAATATGCCACTGGAAATGTGCTTCTGTATGAAAAATATTTAAAGCAGCATTAACCATTGGTTGTAGAGATGCTGACCTTCTGGTAATTGGATAAGGAATTTACATAAAATCTAATGACATTAGATGATAGAATCACTAAAAACTTTGGTACCACTTCTATAGACAGATACAATGTTTCTTTTATTTCCACCTTAAATATAATGTTGAGAGGTGAATATAAGTGGTGAAAATTTTAGAGGTTACCACTGCTACCTCTATCACCAATCTAATAATTGCAATCATTATCATCTTTATTTTCATCTTCATATGAATACAGTAACGTTCTCCAAGTATGTAAATATCTGCCTAAAATTGTATAAATTCAAAGACTGCAGTTAAAAGTTTAGTAAATTATACAAGTTACGAAGCAACATTTCAAAAAGTGTAGGAAAAAGAAATTAAAAACACATATCATTTTATGTATTTATTTTTATTTTTTTTCATGTGCATGTTTTAGGACTCAAAATCATAATGATTGTTCATTTTTCACCTTGTTTTCTCTGTACATTATGATTGTTATTTTTTCATGTAGTCATAAATTATTTATAATTTGGTTACTCTATTAATTCAGCTAATAATTCCTAATAAGTCAACTAATAAGGAAGATATGTAATAAACTTATTTAATATTTATTTTTGCATATTGGGTTTGAAAACTCTGTTTTTAAATCCTCCTTTGGTTTTGTCAATATATCATAGCAAATATAGGGTTAGTGAAACTTCGAAAAGTCTTAACATATTTTTCTGAATACAGGCAGAGGAAGCAGACAGGAAGCCTCAATTATTTAATATCTATTATTAGTCAGGCACTTACAGGGTACTTTGGACATGTCATCTCAATTAATCCTCATATTACTATAGGATGTGGCCTATATATAAAGAGGTGATAATATATTATTATCTCCTCTTGAGGAGAGGTAAAACAAGCTTCACAAAATTTAAATAACTCTCATTGTTAAATAACTATTAAATAATGAGACCAGGAATCACAAACACCCTCTTGACTCTAAAATTCGTTTCTATTTTTTATAGCATACTTTTTACTATTCCAAGTTGCATCCATTAGAATGAATAAAAACAGTACCTGGTGACAAATTTTTAGATAATGTCACACATAATCAAAATAATCTTTCATTCTGTCTTTTCGCTGAGACTTTTAGCACACAAACTTCCTTTAGCCCACTGGCATTTCTTCTTTTATTTTTTACTGTAAAAATTATAGTCTTTGCATTTGAATTGTGAAGGAGTTACAAAATCAAGCACTGTATTAAGAAGCACAATTAAAAACAACAGCAAATCAACAAACAGTAGACAGCAATAGTGAGAGCATGCTA